CCTGGCCACAGCAGAGGGCTGGCCTGGAAGAGGGGCAACCGGGACAGAATCCGGCGCCCCGACCGGGACTAGAACCCGGTGTGCCGGCGCCGCTAGGCGGAGGATTAGCCTATTGAGCCGCGGCGCCGGCCCTCTATCACATACTTTTAAATAGTCAATTAATTGTTGTCAACCATAGTTATTCTAGTGTGTTCTGGTACATTAGAAGTTATTCCTCCATCCAACTGTATGCTTCTCAGACTCTGGCAACCACTACAGTTTTTGGAGTTGAAGAAGGAAAGCAGTAAAAGCTAAGATGACTTGGAGAATGCACTGAAACATCCCTCAGTTCTCATGGATGTTTAGACCAAAGGTGCTGCCTGGCTGGGAGCCCAGCATCTTCAGAGGAGTGTCAGTGAGCTTGCAGACTCGCAGTGGTTAAATCAATAGTTAATGATGTTCGTCATACAATGTGAGCCTCTAGTTTGTTTATGCTAGACCAACTTTATCCATACTCCAAACAAATTATCTCTTATAATTACCAGCCCGAAGATAAATCTCTAAATGTTTTTCTGATGATAGTGCTGCGGTTGGCAGGTGTTAACAGTGCCTCCCAGGGACAAAGATTGAAGATGAGCTTGTTCCTGCAAATCCTTCAGGCGAGGATGTTGAGCTTTCTCTCGTGCCATGTGCAAAGGAGCTGTGTATGGTGCCCTGTTAATGAAATCTAATAGGCAAAGGTCGTATATCTTTACAAAGAAAATGCAAAGCTGGATGTGATAAATGGGCTCTGTGGGACTCAGTGGATGAGGTTTGGTGATAAAATCCATGTTTAAACAGTCAGCTTGGTTTCTTTCCAATGTTTATGCCTTACATATCCCCTCAGTGATTCTCACCTGGTAGAATGATTAAAATAAATAAAAATATAAGTAGTCTATGTGCCTTCAGGTTATCCAATGTCAGTATTAAACAGTAGCCACCAGAACATCAGTTTACAATAGAAAAAAGCTATAGGTCTTTAAATGAGTGTTATTAAAAACTACCTAATCTAATTGTACATTTACCATCTCTTAAAGGAAAAGTCTTAGAATCTATGTGCTTTTAATCACTGCTATCAAAATACTAAATAATGCATGCAGATACACAAAGTATTATCCAGAAATGTATGCCATTTAGAAATGCAAAAAAAATAAGTTAAATCTGGAATTATAAAGAGTTAAATAAATCAGATATTGTTGAATTGAATCACTGCTGGTTTTAGGAGAAGTTACCAGTTCATTTGCTGTAGTTGTACTGCTGAGCTAAGAGACAGTTCAATAAATCAACTCAAGCTTGATGGATTCTTCAATTCATTGAAACGAGTGCATGGAGGAGAAAAGAAATCTCTTAGTATTCCCTCTTTGACAAAAGGGTATGCAAAGAGCCTGAATGGATGAATGGTTGATTAATTTTGCCAGAAATTTTCCTGACAGCAGGAAATATGTTTTTGCATTACTCTGTTTGCCTGGGATTTATTTGGTAGAATATGAATTATTGCATGCAAATTTGTACCTGAGGCTATGTCGCTGAAGTAGATAGCTCCTGGTGCTGATTTCTGAGTATGGAACCTGTAATATTTTTGTATGGTCTTGCACTCTACTCTTTTATGAGTTGCCCTGCAGTTGTGTATATCAATGCCTGCTCCCGCCGGCCAAGCACTACCGATGATTCAATATTGAGTTTGGTTTCAGTGCTCATCTGTGCTTCTCTCAAGAAAGGATGGGGGCTGCTACCAACTGCTGAAGCTTGCTAGTTCTGTGACTCCTCAACCTGATAACTTACAGCAGACTCTTGCCTTTAAATAAGGAAGGGACAGTGCTTTCTGCTTACAGCAAGCCCACGAGTGAGCATGTTTCTCAGATTTATCTCCCCAAGATGGATACACTACACATAAGAAGACCCTGGCTGCTGTTGATGACAGTTACACTTGATGAAAACAGAAATAGGAGTAGCCTCTCTACTTACTCCCTTATACTTGTCCCGTGGAGAATGTTGCTTTGCCACATAGGGGACCCTTACTGCATCAGTGTGGAGGCAAGAAGGTTTATGGTTCTCAGCATCTGTGCTGGGGCAGTAGGTGAGCTCTACTTGCTTCCATTTATATCTCCTCTGCTGCACATTCAGAGGCCGGAATACTAGAAATCTCAAGAACAAAGTCATGGAAAAAGAAATGCTATGCTCTCTCTCCCACTTGCTGTGGTCTGAATGTCGTGTCACCCCCCAAATTCCCATGTTGGAATCTAGATCCTAGAGGTGATGTATTAGGAGATGAGGACTTAGGGAAGTGATTAGGTCACTAAGGCAGAGCCCCTGTGATTGGAATCAATACCCTAATAGAAGAGGATCCAGGAAAACACCTTGCCGCTTTGGCCATGTGGTGTCAGAATGACAAGAGAACTGTCTGGGAGGAAGTGGGCCCTCACCATCAGCGAATCTGCTCATGCTTTTAGACTTCCCTGCCTTTGGAAATGTGAAAAACAAATTTCTTTCCTTTACAAGCTACTCAGTTTATAGTATTTTGTTACAGCAACCTGAATGGGCTAACATGCTATTTATAAATTATCTACGTCCTGTTCATTTTGTTTTCCTTCTAGAGCTTAATGCCAAAAGCTTTCTTTCTTGTAGGTACCAGACCAGAAATTGTCTATGGCATAAGGCAGGACCCCAAATATTTGAGTCATCACCACTGCCTCCCAGAGTCTGCATTAGCAGGAAACTGGAGCCAGGAGTATGAGTCAGGAATGGAACCCACGTTCTCCATGTGGGGCACTAGTGTCTTAACTCTTAGTCCCAGTGACCATCCCTCTTTTTAGAGTTATTAAATAATTGCATATCAGAAGTTAATACACCTTAAAACACCTATCCATCCCCTCATTTCAGCGTTAGGAGGGGAGATTGTGTAACCGCCAGGGTAGTTCTTTCTATTTTCCTGGTATATAAACTTGATTTGTTACTCTGTTGAATAATTTCAATCTTCTATATAGGAATTCAAAACATTCATGTACCCATCTAAAACCTTTCAGAAACAGATTGCTTTTTTTTTTTTTTTTTTTTTTTTTTTTTTTTTGCCTTCTTTAAGATGACGATTTTTTTTCCTCCTATGGGGATTTGATTCCATTTAAGTCTTTTTTTTTTTTTTTTTGGCATTTAGTCATTTTATTTTATTTTTTTTTTATCTTTTATTTAATGAATATAAATTTCCAAAGTACGACTCATGTGTTACAATGGCTTCCCCCCCCATACCGTCCCTCCCACCCACAACCCTCCCCTTTCCCACTCCCTCTCCCCTTCCATTCACATCAAGATTCATTTTCGATTATCTTAATATACAGATCAGCTTAGTATACCTTAAGTAAGTATTTCAACAAGTTTGCTCCCCACACAGAAACATAAAGTGAAAAATAATAGATGATTTTTTTTAAATGATGATGAAATCAGATCAGACCTATTGTCATGTTTAATCCCAGTGAGAGTCAAGTTGGGAATAGATAATTTCTTCTTTGTTCTTGTTTTATCTTTACAGAAGATCAGTTTAGTGTACATTAAGTAAAGATTTCAGTCGTTTGCACCCCCATAGAAACACAAAGTGAAATATACTGTTTGAGTACTCGTTATAGCATTAAGCCTCAGTGTACAGCACGTTAAGGACAGAGATCCTACATGAGGAGTAAGTACACAGTGACTCCTGTTGTTGACTTTACCAATTGACACTCCTGTTTATGGCATCAGTAATCTCCCTATGCACCAGTTATGAGTTTCCAAGGCTATGGAAGCCCCTTGAGTTCTCCGACTCTTATCTTAGAAACAGATTGCTTTTTAAAAAAAAAAAAAGATCACCTTTTTCATTGCAAAACTAATAACAAAAAAAAAACCCTAAAAGTATAAAATAATACTCATTGCATCTTACTGTTCTCAGCAAAAAGTTGTGTGTAGATATGGGCAAATAAATGAATTATCTGACCCTTAATGCAGTAAAATGTTCATAAGATTGTCCCAAAACATTCTAGGTAGGAATTTTAATCATTCTAGAGTTCACCTTATACACTAAGGCTTTAGAAAATACAAATAAAAACCTGTGCTTAGATGATGATTGCAAGGACACTGTAGAGTCAAGGAATGAAGTAAGATATTTCTGACTTGGAAAAGGCTCTGTTGATCAGCAATATCATTTTAGGCATTAGGGATACTGCTGTATGGTTTTAGGAGTTGAAACCGTGTTTATGGACGTTGTGCTGGAATGTGCTACATAGGCATTCCTCAGCAGGTAGAGAAATGACTATTGTTATTCCCCCCAGCTGCCTAGCTGCTTTCAGAGTTTTTAAAAAAGACTTATTTATTTATTTGAAAGACAGAGTTTTATATATATCTCTCTATATATAGATATCTATATATCTATATATAGATTCTCTCTATATCTATATAGAGATATAGATCTAAATAGAGATATCGGTATAGATATAGATATAGATATAGATATAGATATAGATATAGATAGAGAGAATCTTCCACCTGCTGGTTCACTCCTCAGTTGCCTACAATGTCAGGGGCTAGGCCAGGCCAAAGCCAGGAACTAGGAACTTCATCCAGGTCTCCCATGTGGGTGCAGGGACCCAAGCATTTGGGCCATTCTCTGCTGCTTTCCCAGGCTTATTAGCAAGGAGCTGGATTGGAAGTGGAGCAGCCAAGTCTCAAACTGCTGCCCATATGGGGTGCCAACTTTGCTACATGGGGTTGACACAATACCGGGCTCCCAGAAATTTTAAAAAATCAAAATAGAGGCCAGAGATGGAGAAAAGAAGCAGAAGTCCAAGTTTTGTCTTATGAAGATTATTTTATTTATTTGAAAGGCAGAATGACAGAGAAAGAAGGAGAGAGAGAGAGAGGGAATCCTCTATCCACTGGTTCACTCCCCACATGATCTCAACAGCCAGATCTGGGCCAGGCTGAACCCAGGAACAAGGAACTCCATCTATGTCTTCCCTGTGTGTGGCAGGGGCCCAAGCATTTGGACCATCTTCCCAGGTCATTAGCAGTGAACTATATTAGAAGTAGAGCAGCTGGGACTTTAACCTGTTCGCCAATAATAGATGCAGTGCCACAGGTGGTGACTGAACATGCTACATAATGCCAGTCCCTTGTGATTAATTTTTGGATGCCCTCTCTCCCCTCGCCGGGCAGAGGGGAAGGTAGAGTGCAGAAAGCCACCTCTGAATCTTGCCTCATGTTTCTCCATCAGGAGGTCAGCAGTCAAGTGTTAAAGGACCAGTGGATGGCGTGTTAGAGGGTGGGCTGAGCAGCCTGTTTCTTCCAGACTCATAGAAGTGCTATGATTTTCAGCTACTTTTTTCACCTTGAAATAAGATTTGTCTGAGGGCACAGAGACCATCTAAGTTATTATGGCTTTTGCTTCTAGTTTGAAACATAAGGACTATTACCAAACACAAGTGAGGAACCCCTCTTCTAGAACACATCTGGGGGGACTGGTGCTGCTGTGGCATAGCAGGTAAAGTCACTACCTGCAGTGCCAGCATCCCATATGGGTGCCGATTCAAGTCCTGGCTGCTCCATTTCTGATCTAGCTCCCTGAAAATGGACCTGGAAAAGCAGCAGAAGATGATCAAAGTCCATGGGAGACCAGAATGAAGCTCTGGCTCTGGCCTGGCCTAGCAGTGACCACTGGCACCATTTGGGGAGTGAACTAGTAGATGGAAGATCTCTATCATCTCTCTCTATCTCTATCTCTATCTCTCTATCTCTCTCTCTTTCTTTCTGTCTGCCTCTGCCTCTCCTTCTCTATAACTCTGACTTTCAAATAAATGAATGAACCTTTAAAAAACTTTTTGCAAAAAGAATGGGGTTGGTGTCATTTTTTAGTATAGAAAAATTGGAGGTAACTCCAAGAGGAGAAAGAAGTGTGGAGTGAAACAGGCAAGGTTTGGTGGGGAGCCGTGGACAGGAGGGACAGTGCATTCCAAGCAAGAGTAACCTCAGCCTATGCAAGATTTTCCACATTAGATGCAGAAAATGCATCCATAACTGAATAATACAGCTCACTTGTTGAGTGTCTGAATTGCAATTATGCACAAGGCATTTCTCTAGAAGTCCCTGCTCAGTAAGTTAATGCTGGGGACTACAGATCAAGATGTGAATAGGAGAAAAATTGTTTTTTGCCCAGACTTCTAGCCACATGTTGGGCATACTGGCATTCTGAGTGGCCTTTTAGGATGAGAGTGAGAACAAAGTCGAGAAAGATGAGGGAAAATCAGGGAGCTAGATATGGAGTTTTCCTAGATCATGCTTGTGGCTCAGGGTCCAGCAGATGCTGCAGGTCTACTTCTCGCCCATTCAGTCTGGCTCAGAAGGAGCTGTCTGCAAAAACTGTGCCTGAAGCTGGGAGTAGCTAAGATAGATGTTCTGTGAGCCTCACTAATGTGATGTCTCAAGCCCCAGGAAAAACCAGACACAGACAAACTGTGCAATCCAGACACTGCACATGCCAAGGGTAACTGGCCTTGTAATCAGCGATTCAAGAGGACTGGCTTGCTTCTTTCTTCAGCTGTAAGAGAAATAAGGAAACTTTAGCAGTTGTCAGATTTTAAAGTTAGAGTAAATGAAAGTTAACAAAATAGGAATATTCTAAGCTCCAATCAAAAATCAAACCAGGGGCTGGGCATTTGGTGCAGGAGTTAAGATACCAGTTGGGAAACCCATTTCCCATTTTGGAGTGCCCAGGTCTGAGTCCCAGCCCCAGTCCTGATTTCAGCTTTCTGCTATGCCTGCCCTGGGAAGGTAGCAGGTGATGGTTCAAGTACTTGTGTCCTTCCCCCCTATTTCGGAAACCTAGTCTCGGCCTGTCCATTGTGCACATTTGGGGAGCGAACTAGTGAATGAGATTATCCTTTCCTTTGCCCCTTATTCTGCCCTCTCCCTCTCTCTTTCTCCCTCTCCTCTCAAATAAATAATTTTTAATTAAAAAATAGATCAAGCCGGCGCCGTGGCTCAATAGGCTAATCCTCCGCCTTGCGGCGCCGGCACACCGGGTTCTAGTCCCGGTTGGGGCGCTGGATTCTGTCCCGGTTGCCCCTCTTCCAGGCCAGCTCTCTGCTATGGCCAGGGAGTGCAGTGGAGGATGGCCCAAGTGCTTGGGCCCTGCACCCCATGGGAGACCAGGAAAAGCACCTGGCTCCTGGCTCCTGCCAGGATCAGCGCGGTGCGCCGGCTGCAGCGGCGGCCATTGGAGGGTGAACCAACGGCAAAGGAAGACCTTTCTCTCTCTGTCTCTCTCTCACTGTCCACTCTGCCTGTCAAAAAAAAAAAAAAAAATAGATCAAATATGCATGCGTGTAAGGAGGAAAATTTCTTAGTTTCTAGACCATAATAAGAAAAAAGATTTTACCTTTCCCCAGAAAATGTGTTTCAGTGCAATTTTCTATGATATAAATGCATATAATCAGGGCCCCTTAAAGATCCAGATGCTTACTAATGGGGGAAGTATTTGGGTCTAAAGGTTTGACTATTGTCCTATAAGCAAAGGTGATTTGTGTAGTCACTAACAAATTGCAATGCAAGTCACTGCTCTGTTGCTCTATTCTCAGTTTGAGATGATTTCTTCTATCATATGAGGATCTTAGACTTTATTTAGATAAGTCTTATACTCTCCAGGCTCTCATTTTTCAAAAGAGAAATGTTACGACTATTCCACATTTCCTTCCTGGTGCACTGTTAGCAGTCTGTGTTTTTGTTTCTCACTTCAAGAGAGCCCCTCCTGTTTTAAAAATAATTTTTATTTATATAAGGTGAACAAATTTCATGTATTTCATGTATAAAGACTTAGGAACATAGTGATACTTCTCACTCTATCCACCCTCCTCCTTCCTTTCTTATTCTTTCTTTTAAATTTTACAATAACATTTTTTCAGTTTATTTTATAATCATAAGCTTAGCCCTCCACTAAGTAAAAAAAAATTTTAAGAAATAATAAAAATAACAACAGCAACACTGATCCAGCTTCTAACAGCATTAGTTAACATCCTGCTGCTCAACAGGTGGGCACAGCCCAGAGCCCAGCTTCTACCCGGGAGCTTGTAGAGATGCGGAATGTCAGTCCTGCCACCCCTCACCTACTGAGCCAGGATCTGCAGTTTAACAAGAATCTCATTTGATTTGTATTGGAGTTAGAGATGCTTGGGTTAATATGGCTTGTGATTCCAGATTCCTATTTTTAAGGGGTGAGGAGGTAGGGCTGTATACCTTGCCTCTGATAGAAGCTCTCTTGATCTTCCCTTAACTAATTACTGTGCTGAACTAAATAACATTCTCCAATCTACTCTGTAATACTGACTGATAACCTTAGCTGATTGCTCACAGCAAACTTAAAATCTCTCTGGAATGCACAGGTGTGTGTGCACCCTGCAACTGAATTCAATGTTTACCAAGTATCAGCTGTGTTTGCTCCCAAACCTGCTATATCAATCGTACTAGTTAATATAATTACACAATTGAAAATAAACTGATAAATTGGAATAAGGTAGTTATTTCTAAGATAAATGCTTTGGGAAGGCTCAAGGAAATGAAATGAAACATATTCCCAATGAAAATATGCTCTTAAATTAGGACAATGCAGCTAATCATGTGTTGTAAAATGCAGAGTCTGCATTCAGATTATTCCACATATGTGTAAGTTTTTATTCCACATTAATGAAACAAATTAGAAAATGAAAATTATATTTTATGTGTGTATGATTTATGAAACAGAGGAAAGGAAGCTTCTATATATACATCCTCATAAATATTTTCATAAACCTTAGTCCTACATGAAAAGTTTACAAATAAATTCATAATTTTATGTTTGAATTTTAATAAAATTGCTATTTTATAATAAAGGACTGCTTTTTAACACTTTTCCTATTTAAACAAAATTTTTATTAACCAACTGCTTGTCCTAATCACTAAGCTTAATCTAGGTAAAAGCATTCAGTAGAAAGCTTCTACTCTTTGGCTTTATACATCAGAAAATACAAGCAATGATTTTATTGTCTTAAGGGGCTCTTCTGTTTTCAGATTATGAATTTGAGGCTATGGGACCAGGGCTGTGGCTTAGTGGGTTAAGCCACCGCTTGCAGCGCCAGCATCCCACATGGCACCGGTTCAATCACAGGCTGCTCTACTTCGGATCTAGATCCCCGCTAATGCTAAGTGCATGGGCCCAAGCCACCCACATGGGAGACCTGGAAGAAGCTCCTGGCTCTTGGCTTCAACCTGGCCCAGCTCTAGACATTGCGGCTATGTGGGGAGTGAACCAGCGGATGGAAGATCTCTGTCTGTCTCTCCCTGTCTCTATAACTCTGCCTTTAAAATAAAATAAATCTTTTAAAAGAAAAAAAAAAAGGAATTTGAGGCCCAGGAAGCCGCAGTGAGCTTGATGAGGTGTGGTTCTGTGAGCAGCCCCACAAGCATCACCGAGGAGCTTGCTACAGGTTACAGCTCCACGCCTACAAGTCAGAAACTCTGGAAGCCGGGCCCTGTAACACATCTGTGTTTACAGATGCCCTGCAGGTGATTCAGCTGCAGCTTTTGAGGCTCAATGACGTGGAGCACCTGGAGAAGAGCCCGTTCCTGTGTTAATGCAGCCTATCAAATGTCGGGCTCATTTTCCTGGTCTTTTAAATCAGAAAGTGACCATTATTTGAATGTTTCTACCATAAAGAAATGGTGAGGTTTGGGGAGATAGATATATTTACCCTGATTACACAAGGTATTGAAACATTCCATTGTGCTACCTAAATATGTACAATTTTTATGTGTCAGTTTAAAAAAAAAATCCCATCAGACAAATAAGCAAGTCTAAATGTCAAATTAACAACTTTATGAAGTTAAAACTATAGTTCTTATTTTTCAACTTTTATTTAATAAATATAAATTTCCAAAGTGCAACTTTTGGATTATAGTGGCTTTTTCCCCCCATAACCTCCCTCCCACACGCAACCATCCCATCTCCCACTTGCTCTCCCATCCCATTCTCCATCAAGATTCATTTTCAATTATCTTTATATACAGAAGATCTACTTAGTATTTACTAAGTAAAAAATTTCAACAGTTTGCACCCACACAGTCACATATAGAGTACTGTTTGAGTACTCTATATGTTTTGCCGTTAATTCGCATAGTACAACACATTAAGGACAGAGATCTTACATGGGGAATAAGTGCACAGTGACTCCTGTTGTTGATTTAACAATTGACACTCTTATTTAAGACATCAGTAATCATCCAAGGCTCTTGTCATGAGCTGCCAAGGCTATGGAAGCCTCTTGAGTTCACCAACTCTGATCTTATTTAGACAAGGCCATAGTCAAAGTGGAAGTTCTCTCCTCCCTTCAGAAAAGGTACCCCCTTCTTTGATGGCCCCATTCTTTCTGCTGGGATCTCACTTACAGAGATCTTTCATTTAAGTCATTTTTTTTTTGCCACAATGCCTTGGCTTTCCATGCCTGACAAACTCTCATGGGTTTTTTAGCCAGATCCGAATGCCTTAAGGTCTGATTCTGAGGCCAGAATGTGGTCTAGGACATCTGCCATTCTATGAGCCTGCTGTGCATCCCGCTTCCCATGTTGGATCATTCTTTTTTTTTTTAATTTTTTTTAATTTTTATTTTTTGACAGGCAGAGTGGACAGTGAGAGAGAGAGACAGAGAAAAAGGTCTTCCTTTGCCGTTGGTTCACCCTCCAATGGCCACCGCGGCTGGCACGCTGCGGCTGGTGCATCACGCTGATCCGATGGCAGGAGCCAGGTACTTATCCTGGTCTCCCATGGGGTGCAGGGCCCAAGGACTTGGGCCATCCTCCACTGCACTCCCGGGCCACAGCAGTGAGCTGGCCTGGAAGAGGGGCAACCAGGACAGAATCCGGCGCCCCGACCGGGACTAGAACCCGGTGTGCCGGCGCCGCAAGGCGGAGGATTAGCCTAGTGAGCAGCGGTGCCGGCCGGATCATTCTTTCCTTCTTAATTCTATCAGTTATTATTAGCAGAAACTAGTCTTGTTTATGTGATCCCTTTGACACTTAGTCCTATCATTATGATCAGTTATAAACTTAAACTGACCACTTTAATTAGTAAGAGGTCATTGGTACATGCCACCTTGATGGGATTGAATTGGAATGTTTCTAACTCTACTATTAGGGGTAAGTCTGAGTGAGCATGTGCTGAACTGTACATCTCCTCCCTCTCTTATTCCCACTCTTATATTTAACAGGAATCACTTTTTGGTTAAATTTAAACGCCTAAGAATAATTGTGTGTTAATTAAAGAGTTCAACCAACGGTATTAAGTGGAACAGAAAAATATTAAGAGGAATAAAATAGTAAGTTGTTCCTCAACAGTCAGGACAAGGGCTGATCAAGTCACTGTTTCTCATAGTGTCCATTTCCTTTTAGGTGCTCAGTTAGTTGTCACCGATCAGGGAGAACATATGATATCCTTTGGGACTGGCTTATTTCTCTCAGCATGATAAAACTGTAGTTTTCTTACTTTGTAGAATCATTGAAGTTTATTTTTCA